GACGCGCGCGCGACGGACGCGAGGGAGAGCGGGCGCGCGGGCGAGCGAAAGCGCGCGGCGATGGCGAGCGAGGGCGCGACCGTGGGCGAGGGCGCGTCGTTGCTCGAACGCGATGACGCGGGCGGACGCGGACGCGGACGCGGATGGGTGTTCGCGAGGACTCGAGCGATGCCGACGGTGACGGCGATCGCGACGGTGGCGCTCGTCGTCGTCGGTGGCGTCGTCGCGAGCGGTGGCGTGGGAGAGACGTCCAAGGCGCTCGGGCTCGGGCTTAATCGAGGGCGGACGACGAGGGAATTCGTGGAGGAGTGCACCGAGCGGGGCGTCGGGCGGGCGTACGCGCGGTTGTCGGCGACTTTAGGGTGCGGCGAGGGCGAGGGGCTCGGATGCAACGCCACGAGCGCGCTGGGAGAGGGACCGCCGGACGTGACCTTCGTCGATGGGTTTTGGTTCGCCGGACCGCCGTATCATCACAGCCCGAAGGCGTACGCGCAAAACATGGCGAGCACGGCGTGCATGCTCGGTTCGTTCGGAGCCAAGGTTGTGTTCGTGAGAGACTCTGAGAATGCGTGCGCGGCGGTGCTGAAGCAATACAACGCCGGTGTGAGAGCGCGCGTGGATCAACGTCCGGAATTCACGTTCGGCCCTCGCGACGGACAACGCGCGACGTGCCGAGTGATGACTGTCGACTCGTTCCCGATCAAGACCAAGGGATGCAAGTGGTACTTCAACATTTGGTTGAATAAAGTGAGCGTCGTCGCCGATACCACGCGTTGGCTCCGACAGTCCAAGGGACCAGAATCTGCACTTCAAGCGAACACCTACTTTTGGTTGGACGGCGACAGAGTCGGTCCACACGATCACTACTACGGATTGACAAACGTCACGCAAGCGCTGAGACACGTCGAGGCGACGAATGATGGCGGAATATCGCCGTTCTGCTACCATGGAAGCCCCGCGTTCTCCGTCCCGATGGGAGGTGGTGGGAGAAACGTAAGAGTTGGTGACATCGTGACAAACTCGTTTGCGGGCACGTACGACGGGATTCAACTCTTTCAAAAGGCGTATAACGAGTTTTTGATGGCTCAGTCGAATCCGCACGTTCTCGTTCCTCATACAGGTGCACGATTAGCCAAGGGGCGTGGTCTTGGTGCAGGTCATCATGGCCATGGTGGAGGTAATAAAATAGGTGGCTACCACGACGTGTGTCCGCGCGAGGAAAGAGTATTCGCCGAGATGGCCAAGGCGGAGCAAAACCCGAATTTCCACGGGACGCGCGTGTTCTCCAAGAAATCGTGCATCTTCGAGCAGATCCCAGGACGTGGCATCATCCCGGCCGATGATAGGGGTTCTTAGATTTCTACACTACACGGATGAGCTTTTGATAACACGCTTCTATTCAATCTTTTCGGTCGCGAATGCCAACGAGCAACTCGTCGTACACCCCATACTGTGAATCGACGATTCTACGGAGCTGCGACGTGGTGACAACGGTCACAACAGTCTTTGTCAATGCCCTGACGTTCACACGGCGTCGCCCGCCGAGCCAAATGTTCTTCACTCGGAGTAGGATTACCACTCGCCGCACAACGACGGCAAAGTTCGATTCACACGAAGAGCCCTCGGCGTCGTCGTCGTTTTCGGAGTCAGACATCTCGATGACGCCCGCGGGAAGATACAAGCCGCGATCACCGACATATTCTTCCGCGTAATATTTTTTCACGCTCATTTCGCGACCGAACGCCTCGACGAACTCCTCACAGGCTCCGGACTGGATGACGAAGAGCTCGCGAGCTCGCTCACCTTGTCGACAGATTACCTCCCCTTTCGCATACACGCGCTGTCCAAAAGTTCCTTTCGGTTGTTTCGCGATAAATCTCGTCAAACGAAACCGTCCCAAATCGTCACGATGCACGGCGTCTGTTCCTTTGAACCACGGATGTAGTAACGCCTCCTCAGCCGTCAGGCGCTTTGCCGGATCCAGGATGAGTAAGCGATCAATGAGATCCAAAGCGTCGTCGGATACATCCACGGACATGGGCGCGATGCTTCGCAGGCTAATCTTCCTGAATAATAACTGCTCATCGTTCTCGTCGTCGACGTAAAATGGTAGTTCTCCGCTCAGTAAGAGGTACATCATCACTCCCGCTGACCAAATGTCAACTGAGGCGTTGTACGGCTGACTGAGTAAAATCTCTGGAGCGACGTATGATGATGTCCCGCAGTTATCGCGACATTTGTTCCGGGCGTTTCTCACGCGCTTTGCGAGCCCAAAATCTGTCAGGCGAAGCGACTGGATCTCATCCTTCTTCGCGAATGACATGTTTTCCAGTTTCACATCCCTGTGAATAATATGATTGGCATGACACTGTCGAAGCGCGCGCAAGATTTGCCCCATGAGAACCCTCGCCTCGTCCTCCTCGTACTCCCCCCGAGCGAGCAAGGTCTCGAGCAACTCCTCGCCCTCGAGCAACTCCATCACGACGAACGCGTTCGGGGGATCGTGGTAGAAATCATACGTCTGTACGACGCTCTCATGCGACGCCGAGCGCGCGAGCTCGTATTCTAACTGAGCCTCTTTCAACCGCATGCTCCGCTTTGGCTGTCGCATCACATCCCGCGAGCTCACCGAACACTCGTCTTCCTCATCATTGTCCTCGTTCTCTTCGCTCAGCGCGCTCCCATCGCTCTCGTCGTCGCTCGTCGTCTCCGCGCGCTCCGCGTCGCTCTCTTCCCGTTGTTCCTCCTCGCTCTCCCCGTCCTCTCTGATCTTAATTACCTTCACCGCCCTCTGTTTCGACGAAACCTTATCGATCGCGGCGTAGACGACACTGAAACCACCGGCGGAGACCTCTCGTTGCAACTCGTACGCGTCGTTGAACGTCTTCTTTGAAATCGCGCTCGTCGACGCATCGCTCCCAGTTCGCGCCCTCGAGCGATCTTCATCGTCTCGCACGACGCAATCGTCGGTGTGCGTGGACGCTTGACACCCCATTCGGCGCGTTCGACGATGCGCGCGCGCGCTTCGACGTGCGCCGCGGTGCGGCGTCGGCTGCTTACGAAAGTACATTTTTGAAGAATCATCAGTTCTTCACTTACTGGCACTTCACACGACGACGCGCGCGCGATGCCACGCTCGGGGGCACGTCTGCGCAATGCGTGGGTGCGCGTCTTCGTCGTCGCGTTCGCAGCCGCATCGTGCGCGCGAGCGGAGGAGTCGACAGAGACGGAAGAACCGAGACTCATCGGTTGGTTGGGTGAGGTCGCTCGACCGCCCGCGCCGAGCGCCACCGGCGATGGCGCGACGAATAGCTCGATCGAGGATGCGTTGCTGTCTTCATCCAGCGAGAGCGCGGTGAAAGGGGCGAGCGAGATTGGGGCGAAGGCGAGAGGGACGTGGACGACGCTGAGCTGGTCGCCGCGCGCGTTTCTGTACCAAAACTTCTTGACGGAGGACGAGTGCGAGCACCTGATCGCGCTGGGGGAGAAGAAGTTGGAGCGATCGACCGTGGTAGGAAGTAAGGGAAAAGAGGGCGACGTGCACAGCGCGCGGACGTCGTTCGGGACGTTCATCACGAGACGTCTGACGCCAACGTTGAGCGCGGTGGAGGATCGAGTCGCCGAGTACAGCGGGATTCCGTGGAGACATCAAGAGCAGTTACAGCTGTTGCGGTACGAGAAGGGTCAGGAATACGTCGCGCATCACGATGGAATCGTGAGCAAGGGGAACGGTGAGAAGCGTATCGCGACGGTTCTGATGTTCCTGCGTGAGCCTGAGTTTGGTGGAGAGACGCATTTCCCAGATGCGACGCCGCTTCCGGCGACGAGGTCAGAATTCCTCGGTAGTAGAGCGAAGCTCAGCGATTGCGGATGGAATGAAGGTCGAGGTTTCAGCGTGATTCCGCGAAAGGGCGACGCTATCCTATTCTTTTCTCACCATATAAACGGCACGAGTGATGACGCAGCGAGTCACGCTTCATGTCCGACGCTTCGTGGAATCAAGTACACTGCAACAAAATGGATTCACGAGAAGGAGTTCGACACGACGACGTTCGAAACGCCGATGTGCGAAGATAAAGAGGACATGTGTGATCAATGGGCGAACAGCGGTGAATGCGAAAAGAATCCCGTCTTCATGATGGGAATCGAAACTGTTGGCTCGTGCTCGAAGAGTTGTTGCGCACGAGATCGGTCTCGACTCAGCGACATCCAGAAGAGGTTCTGTGAGCCATGCGATGAGAAGATGTGATTCACAATAGCGTACAATAGACATCGTTCACTCTCCTTCGATCACCCTGAGTGCCTCGTAGTGTCCACCGCCGTGGAACAAAACGTCCAGGTCGAATTGCGGCTCACTCGCGTACTCATCTTCACCGTATCGAGCGATTCTCTTCAAACCAGCAGTCGAGTCCATCCACACCCCGATTGGGCTCGCAAGAACGTGGGTGAGCATCAAAATCTCCGGTTCCCCGCCCCAGGCGTAGGAAGCGCGCATCTTGGCGCAGTACTCGTCGAAATCTCCCTCGATGAACCACTCCGTCTCGTCTCTTCGCTCGAGCAATTCATTCACCGCGCTCGTTCGCAGTTCATCCGCCTCTCTCAACTCATCCGCCTCGTCCATCCGCTCGCCGCTAATGCTAAGCGATCGCGCCACGCTCAACGAACGGAACAAGCACCGTCCATCACCAGCGACCGGATGGACCTCGAACGCGCGCTCGGACGCGTCGGTGGACGATGAAGAGACTGAATTCAATCGAGCTCGACAGACGTGGTGACCACTTTTCTTCGTGAACGACCTCGACGCCGTGCATCCACGCTCGGACGAAGCGTAACGCGCGAGCGGTTGTCTCGTGGTGGTTACGTGCGCGCGGACGCTCGTGCTGGCGACGCACGCGACGAGGGCGACGGCGCGAAGCATGTGCCGGAATGAAGTAAGAAGGCGGTGTACAAAAATCAAATTCCATTCTACTAGGTAATGCTATGCATCGCGCGTGCTCACGTCCCCTTCAGACGCTTCGGCGCGGATGATTTCTTATGCTTTTTGTTCTTCTTATCCTTCTTCTCGCTAGACGGCTCCTTTGGCTTCTTCTCTTTGGGCTCGTACGAGTGCTTGTCCTCGGCTCCGGCTTTGCGCTTGACGCTGAGGAGTTTATTTGAGCGATTCGAAGCGCCTTGGAGGGCCGACGCCCACTCCGTGTCGGTGCCCGTGATTGCGTAACGATCGAAATCACCGTCCTACAAATGAACGCGAGCGGTGGTCAGTGTTGGTTCGCGCGCGCACGTCGATTGAAAAAATAACCACTCTCCTCTTCGGCTCAGTAAGAACGCAGCGATATGTTTCTCGACATAGGGATGTTCCGCTACCTGGTTGATATTCGATTCGTCATCGCCGAAGAGGATGCAGCGTACGAGTGGCTTTTTGTCCGAGCGAGTGCGTACCTCCAGAAGCGCTTTTTGCTTGGCGGCAATCTCCGCGTTCACCATAGCGGCTCTGCAAAATGGAACGTGAAAACGTCAGTCATCGTACTAGCGAGGAGTCACGGAGCGAAAAACAAACAATGAAAGCTCTGAAGAGTGATGGATCAGGCCTGTTGAGCTTAGTTACCAACATAGGACTCTCTGACTTATAACCCCGCCTAAACGGTGGCGCCAGAGAGCGAAAAATTCTGGAACTTTGTTGTTGTCTATCACCTCCATCCTCTTCAGAGTCGAGAGACACGAGCGATCGAACATTCCAGAAAACGTACCCTTCCTCAAGATCTTCATCCAAACCGACGGCGTGCGGTCTCAATTCGGGCATACTGACAGACGGCAAAGCGGCCTCGATCTCAGCCTCTCGAGCCATCAGGATCGATCCGTGAATACGACGAATTGCCTTGTTGAACAAAGCCATGAGTTGCTGCCCGGGCAAATCCAACGTTTTGATGGCATCATCGATAGTCTTCAGCTGAAGACCGAGGATGAGCAAAATGACGGCTTGCGTGTACGAAATCGTCACGGGAATACGGTGTGCAAAATACGCGCGTGCGATCGGTGGCACCAAATCACCGATTAAGTGATGATCTACTAAGGCGGCTGCGTATTTCTGAATGCGCCTCAAATCGTGCGGACTCAAAATTTCATTGTCCGCCTTAAGCACAGATTCACGGCTAGCACCCGACTTTTCGTCATAATTGAGTTTTGGATCCATCAAGCATAAGCAGAGAGCAGGAGGCATATCTCTAAAGGCTGAGCCTAACAGCGAAGTAAACCTCACTCTGAAGTCGCTGTAGAACGAATCCACCCAGTTGCCATCGGGACTCTCCTCTGCGCCGACGGGGAAGCACGCGCGCAACATGATGCACGTATGTTCGCCTGTCGTCTCACTCGCCGTTTGCCTGACGTATACCGGTTTATAACCAGCTTTACTCCAGTAGCTGTACAGCTGAGAGGTGAGCCCAAACGCAGTACCGATCCAGTTGATGGGTTCTGGTCTACGTTCAGAGAGATTCACCAAAAGCGGCGGCAAGTTGTCGCGAGGCTTGAGCGTTTCTTCCAATAGCTTCCCAGTGTTTTGCCAGTGTTCGGTGTTCGTCTTAGCGTCGATGTCTGCTTCCTCTCGCAGATCTGCAAGCTTTCCCTCGTAATAGTCGTGAATCATCTGCAAAGCGCGAGAACCATAGCCTTGACGAGGCAAATCCGGGTGCACGGCTATGCGAACGATGCGCGCTCCGGTGAAGGATGGAAAACCTTCGTCCTGGAACTGCGACGCCATCGTCCACGGAATGAGATCGCCTTGTGGAGACAGTCCAGCGGCGAGCGTTGCACGAGCGCTTTGTTGCGAAATAGCACCCTCCAAAGCAACTTGCACGACGCAAAGAATCTCCGGCAAGACGTTCTGTGTTTCGTCCACAGGAGCTAAGAGGACAAATAGACGATGCGCAGGGGCATCTGACATCAGCTGCAAGTCGTTGGGAGTGTTGCGATAGTGACTGGAGACGTACAGAGCCATCATTTTCTTCAGAAACTGCTCACTCGCGGCGTGAGCACTGAAGAGAGTGTCACGAGACACTTCGTAAAGCTCACACGCGTTGGGAGGAGGCAGGGCAGTGATGAGTGGCTTCAACGCATCCGCCGCATCTAGACAAAGCAGATCGTTCAACCACTTTTCCACTCTATCCCCAGCGCAGTAACGTACGGGTTCTGTGAGAGCGACTTCTCTGAGTAATCTAGATCCGCCAGTAGCGAGTTTACCATCCTTATTCGCCTGTTGCGTCGTCGCCGCCTCTCTCCTCAAATTGGCAATCAGTTTTATGCTGAGCGCTCGGCCCGTCCCTTCGTAACCGTTGATGGTTGAGCAAAGGAAGACCAGATAAGGACCGAGTAGAGCTTTCACCGTCGGTAACGGAATCGCCGCCGCTTCATCAATCACGAGTAGTTCCGCCTGAGTTGCCCGCTCGTAGTGCTGAGGAAGAATGTACTGAATCGTTTGCCGGTGACGACGCGTCACATTGATTCGAACAATACACTTCCCAAACGCCGGATTTGTCGACTCGACGAGGTCGTAGTCTAAGTGCTCTTTATACCCAAGCGCGTCAAATCCCTTCAAGATGAAATCGAAGAACGTCTTCAAGTTTTCTGGACTTGGTGATGTGACAAAGATGTTTGCGTAACCCATCTCGACAGCCCCGGCGACCGCGATACCCATCGCAGCAGACTTCCCGCGACCGCGAGCGGCGGTGAGCGCCACGGTAGATCTGAGAGTCTTTTCACTCGCAGCGTCGAGGAAAGTCACGACCGCCTTCGCCTGATCCATCGTCTTGCAGCACTTGACCAACGGGCCAGCTGGCTCGACTTCCTCCATGCTCTCCTTGAGGTCGGTGAGCTCAGGAGACTCATCCGCCCGCTTCTCCTCGACTGGCTCGATGCCTCTAATGTGTGAGCTCGTCGGTAGAATGTTTAACTCATCATCCATCATGATACACGTCGGACACGCTCCCAGACTTAGAGTAAAACGCTCATTAAATCTAGCGACGACGTCTTGGTGGCCCTCTGTGCGAAAACGCGAGTGCACGTCCATGGTCATGTTATACAGCTGCGTCAAGCTCTCCATGTTGGATAGTAACAACACAATCAAACCACCACCTTCGACAGTTTCGATCGTTCGCGCCAAGAGATTCGGTGTCAACGCCTCGAAATCTTGCAGCACCGCCATCCCGTACGTGTTCCCCAAAATTTTCTGCGTATCAGCGTAATAACAGTACCTGATGCTCGTCGACGCCACGAACAGCGAGAACGGATCCTCGTTCTCCTTATCCATCAATCCACTATTCTGCATCTTTTTCACCTGCTTCGCTCGCTTCTTCTTGTGCGACGACAGGTACAGATCCTTCTTATAGCACCACAGCACGTTCGGTCTCGACTTCACCACCGCCTTGCTCAGCATGTAATGCAAGTTAACGATCTGATCCCGTCCGCGGTCGCCCACGATGACGAACATCGTGCGCTCATTGTTCTTCACCCCGTTTTCCACCAGTGTTCGGATTCGTCCGTCCACCTTCTTCCGCATCGTGCGAGAGGCTCTGTTTTCGATCGATTGACAATCGACCACTCGCGCGCCTTCTAACACCGCTCACGTCGCGATGCACGACAACTACGCTTTCGAAAGACGTCCAGTGGAAGAGTGATACCTCAATCGTCGATGTGTCTCGTCGTTTGCCTCGGACCACGCGTCGAGCGCGCTCGAGTGACGCCTCGAGCGACGCTTCGGCGGCGGTTTCGGCGGCGGCGCAGACATATGTATGGGCAAACAGTTTTAAGCGGCGCCACCGGTACTCGCCGAAACGATGGACGGAAGAGTCAACGCAGACGTCGCCTCGCGGCGCCTCGAGCGATCGCTCGCGATGGGGAAATCGAGTAAAGATAAGCGAGACATATACTACAGAAAAGCAAAGGAAGAAGGGTGGCGCGCGCGGTCGGCGTTTAAGCTGTTACAGATCGATGAGAGTTTTGATATCTTTCGAGGGGTGAAACACGCGGTTGATCTGTGCGCGGCGCCTGGTTCGTGGTCACAGGTCTTGTCGAGAAAGCTTTACTTACCAGCTGTGCGCGCTGGAGTGAGCGAGAGCGAGCTTCCGAAGATTGTGGCGATCGATTTACAACCAATGGCGCCCATCGAGGGCGTGACGACTATACAGGGAGACATTACGTCGTTGGATAAAGTGCTAGAGGTGCTGTCGCACTTCGATGGGAAGCAGGCAGATTTGATCGTCGGTGACGGTGCACCGGACGTCACCGGTTTGCACGACCTGGATGAGTTTATGCAGGCGCAGTTGATATTAGCGGGACTCACCGTGGCGACGCACATACTCAAGCCAGGCGGGACGTTCATCGCGAAAATATTCCGAGGAAAAGACGTCAGTTTGCTCTATTCTCAGTTGAAGATTTTTTTTCCCGATGTGACGTGCGCCAAGCCGAAGAGCAGCCGGAATTCGAGCATAGGTAGGATTGAATCGCCCTGTTCATTGGAGCGTATCGAAACTGACGTTGACGCACTTTTTCTCGTTCGCAGAGGCTTTCATCGTGTGTCGAGGATACGCCCCGCCCGAGGGGTTCGAACCGCATCATCTCACGCGTATTTTAGAAGCTCGAGCTACGTCTCATACCGCAGGAGGGGAGGATGGAACCGTGGGGACGATGTCGTGGCCGAACAACGTCTTGGTGCCATTTTTGGCGTGCGGCGACTTGTCCGGATACGACGCCGACCAGAGTTACGCCCTGGATGACACCAAGACGAGACTCGGACCTGTTCAACCGCCCACGACGCCCGCGTACAAGAGCGCCATCGAGCTTCTCAAGCGAAAGTAGCCATCCCAATCATTAAATAGCATCGTAGAGGTTAGCACTTTTTGCACCTCACATCGCCACTCGCTATGTCACCAGCCACGTTCGCCCCAGGTGTGCACAGAGTGTTCGTCTACGGCACCTTGAAGCGCGACCTGTGGAATCACAAAATATTACGGAACGGTGCGTCGAAGTACGTTGCCGACGTGAAGACTTGTCGAGCGGACTTCAAAATGTTTCTCGCCGAGGCCGGGTACCCGTACCTGACGATGGTAGAACTCGACGGACGCATCGTCCACGGCGAGCTGTATGAAGTGAACGACCAGACGCTGGAGATGTTGGACGCCTTGGAGGAGATCTCGAGCGGTTTGTACTCGAGGGAAGAGTTGGAGTGCGTGACGGTTGATGAAGCGGCGACGCCGTATGACGCGTACTTCTACCTTGCCGGTCCTCGAATCGATGTGTCCAATTTATCGGAGATTGAGACCTACGATAAGGCTCTGCACGATGAACGATACGTGCCGAAGGATAAGCCCAGGATCGAAGTCGATAGATGGTGAGCGAAGCGTACGGCGAAGAGGCGAACGAAGCGAGCGCCTCGGTTTAGGCTAGTAATTTTTTGTCATGTACACTACCAAATTACAATACACTAAATCAATTCCTCCCCTGTGTCCGAGGACGATGAGGAGGTCCTATGAAATGCGCTTTAGAATTCGGCAGCCAGCGGGCGTGGTGACCCAAGGAGCTGGCAGATCTGCACTTAACGGTACGTTAAGGAGATCGAAAGAGTACGCGTTTGTCGACCACGAGCTCGTAAAAGAAAACGTTTCATTGGCGAAACATTTTACGTGCGCGTGACTTCTGTAGTGTCGTCCATATGTCGTCTTCGCGGTCAGTCAAATGACTAAAAACGCGCATCACCCCCTCCCCCCCGCACGCACGCGCGCGCCTCGAAGACCGTGTACCAGCGGGCGAACGTTCTTGCGCCGAACGCGATTGAATGCTTGAAAATATATTCAACGCACCTTGTTTGTTTTCTGTGTCTAACGTTTGCCGCACATCGACGTTCGCGCGAACACGAGGCACGTCGTGTCGATCGCCTCGAGGCGCGATCGCGCGAAGGCGTGGATGTACGACCGTCTTGCCGGCGCGTCGACGGCGCGACGAGCGCCTATGCTATCTGCCACTCGTGTTTAAGTGGCAAGCATTGGTGCGCTCGCACGCGCTCACACCGACAGCGCTTCGGACTCACGCCGCGTCGCACGCGCGTCGAAGAGTGAGGCACGTTCGCGACTCTTCGCCTTCAAAACGAGGGGTGGGGATTTTTCCGACTCTTCGTTCGCGCGAACGAAGAGGCCATGAACGATGGGCGCGAGTCGCGACTCAACGCATGGGGGGGACTCCGTTCGGACGCGTGGCGCCCGAATCCACCCCTCGGCGCGCGCGCGCGCCATGTGTAAACTAAACTGCCTCCTCGTTCGCGCGAACGAAGAGGCAGTTTACACACATCGGACACACGGCGAGGTGTGGTCTCTTAGTCCACCCCGTGACCAATGCATAGTCGTATTAAATGTAAAGTACGAACAATGATCGCCTCGAATGCGACTCTTCGTCTTCCATTTTTAGAGGCGCGCGCGCGCGCCGAGCGACGGAGATCTCGAGACTGCCATTACGCGTCGACACAGACTCGCTCGACACAATCCGAAACGTTGAAGAACCGCACAGGTGTGAATCGTGTGTCGCGCAGCGCATGCGCGGTCGCTGGTATTCGATGTCGACGAACATGTCGCGGGGAAGCGGATCGATGGGGGCGATGGGGGGCGACGGGTTGGCGTGGTGTTCGGCGTGGCGCGTGTGTACTTTCTCCTGTGACTGACGCGCGTCGTTGTGTTTTACAGAATGCCGGGCCGTACAGCGAAAAGAAACCGCGCAGCTGCGGCGACGCAAAAGTCAAAAGCACAAACGAAACGAATGGGAGTGACGGGAATGACGCTCAATCGCTCTCATCGTCATCGATGAATCCCGGCATGACCCCTACCTGCGTTGCTCGCATGATGTACTCCCCGTTCACCCACTTGTGATACTTGTCGAAGAGCGCCGTGGCGTCCGTGCCGAACGACCGCTCCAAAATCGCCGCCCCGCCCGGGTGATACTCCACGTACGCCGTCAGGTTGTACACCCGCCCCCGAAGGCCGATCCAACAATCGTTCCGCGTGTTGTGTCTCCTCAGCTCCTCGAGCGAGATCGTGCGCCGCGTATCGACGTCACCGACGCCTCCGTCCACGCGCTCGCGCTTGCTCCGACGCAACCAATCCATCTGCGAGTACCCCGGCCGGAGCGTGATCTTACCCACCGACTGCGACGTCGTGGACGGTTTCGCGTGCGTTCCCGCGCTCGCGGGCGCGCTCCGAGGTCGCGAGGGATCGTCCATGGCGATCCGAACGCCCGTCGCGCAATGATTGACGTCACTCGGTGTGGGCGCGTCGCGTGCACTCGCCCCGCACACGACGCCTCGCATGACGCGCTCGGCGTCGAACGCGTCGACGTCCGCGGCGGTGGCGCGTCGTTCGCGATGCCGCCCTGGAAGGACCCGTCGAGGGCGTCGAGCGACGACGCGAGCGGGCGAAGAAGACGAAGACGCTCGGGAGGAAACGTCGCGCGCACCCGCGTTCGGGCCGTCGAGCGTCGACGCGCGACGCGTGCGCGCAGAGTTGCTCGCGCGATCGACGACGCAGAGTGGATGGGACGATGCGAGAGGGTTTTTAGCCAAGCGCGCGTCCACGGCGCTCGGGAAGGCGGCGTGCGAGACGCTCGAGCCGGAGGAGACGGCGCGCGCGGCGGAGCGTGCGCTGGACGAGACGGCGGCGGCGATGGCGATGGAGAGCGGCTTCGGGGTGTCCTTGGACTTTGGTGGCATGCTCACGGCGGAGGTGAGGCGGGCGTTCTATAAGACGCGACAAGGGTCGCCTCTGGGAGGGGACGAGCTCGCGGCGACGGCGGCATTTTTGGAGAGCGCGAAACGCTTGAAGTCATCCATAGAGGGTGTCACGGTGAGCGGTGAGCTTCCACCGGCGCTGCAGCCACTACGTAGGATCGTGAGAGACATGTTGACCCACGGTGAGCTCGCGGAGACGATTCGAGGGGCGGTGGACGAGACGGGGGAGTTTCGGGACAATGCCAGCCCAGAGCTCCGGCGCGCTCGTTCGCAAAAAGGTGCGGCAGAAGGGAAGCTGAAGAAGGCAGTGCAGGGCAAGGGAACGCCGACGGTGCACCAAGGTCGTATGGTGCTCGCCGTTGCGGCGCCGCCACCGCCGGAAGCGCTCGTCGTTGGCACTCTGATGGGAGGCGCCATGGTGCTCATCGAGCCACCGGGCATCGTGACGTTGAACAGAGAGTTGGCTCAAGCTGTAGACGCAGAAAAGAGCGCCATAGACGCCATCAAGCGCGAGCTCTCCAATCAAATCACGGTCGTCGTCGATGAGTTGTTAGAGTGCATGGACACGGTTGTGAAGTTGGATGTCATCGCGGCAAAGTGTCGGTACAGTCAGGCGCTCAACGGCGTTCGACCTGAGTTCTCAGCCTTCACCGATGACATGGATGAGATGGTGGACGAAAACGAAGATGTAGATGAGGCTAGGGTGGCTGTCGAAATGACTTCCGAGCGATCGTCACTACTACTGGAGCTTGTCGGATTGAGGCAGCCAGTGCTGGCTTCACAGGCGTTCGAAGCAGCGGCGGCGAGACGACAAGCCGCCGCTGAAGCCACGTCGTCGAATGGTCGAGCTACGCAGCCTAGCGGTTACAAAATCGCCAGCAAAGGCGATATCATGGCCGCCGCGGCGAGGGACGATGACTTTGATTACGACGATGACTTTGCAGAGGACGAAGAGGATACTGACGGCACGCCAAAACTCAGAGGGCCCGTTCCGGTTGATATTTTTGCTTCAAAGCGAACGAAAGTCGTAGTCATTACCGGCCCGAACACCGGGGGTAAGACCGCAGCGATGAAAGCCGTTGGACTCGTGGCGATCATGGCGAAGTCGGGTATTTTCATCCCTGCCGAGCGCGCTGTCGTTCCATTCTTTGATAAAGTCCTCGTCGACATCGGCGATGATCAGAGTCTATTGACGAGTCTCAGTACATTCAGCGGTCGACTGACCCGCGCGCAAGCGATTCTTGAGCAATGCACGCCCGAATCACTCGTACTCATGGACGAAGTCGGCACGGGGACGTCACCGGCCGAGGGTGCGGCAATAGGTTATGCACTCCTCAAGGCACTCGCCGGCATCGTTCCTGGTCAGCTCGGCGCATGCCTGACATTTGCAACGACGCATCACGGACAGCTCAAGGCGCTCAAGTACGAACATGAGGAGTTCGAAAATGCCGCAGTAGAGTTCGATGAGGCGGACCTGCGACCGACGTATAAGTTATTGTGGGGCGTTCCTGGGCGCTCGAGCGCGCTTCAAATTGCGACGAGATTCAATCTGAGTGTAGACGTCATCGAAGAGGCTCGGGAAGTTCTCGGTGAAGGACTCGTGAGCTTGGATGACACGATATCTAAGCTTGAAACTGCGCGTCGTGACGCAGATGCTGATATCGCGACGGCCATTCGTTTATTGGATGAAATCGACGCGACGTTGCCGAAGGTTGATGAGGCGGTGAACTACATTCATTCGGCGCGCGAGTCGGCGGCGTATGCTCAGGCGAGCACCGTGATGGCGTTGATGCGCGAATCAAAGGCAAGGATAGCAGAAGCTCAGAGAAAGGAAAAGCAGCAGAACGCTGCAGCGCCGTCTCAAATAGCGGCCGCAGCGTCCGGTGAGACAGATCGAGAGCGCATCGCGCGATTGGCGAGAGAAACCGCGGAACAAGCGAAAGCGGAACAGGAAGCCTTGTTGGCGAATTGGGTCCCGTCTCCCGGCGAAGAGATCAAAATTATCTCGACTGGTATGAGCGGAAAGGTTGTATCTATCGATGGGTCGACTATCATCGTTCAGGTCGGACTTATGCAAGTAAAGGCAAATCTGGACGACGTATCACAGCAATACGTGGCAAGCGCAGCTGCGCCAAAGATGAGGATAAAAAAGGTTCCCGGAGCATCTCAGGCGGCGAGAAGAGTGGACGCCCTAATTGCCACGTCCGCTCGAGTCAATAAGCCGAAGCCCGTGACCACCCCTAAGAGCGCCTTCAGCGACTTTGAGCTCTCAGATGATGACATGCGCGCGACGGTCGGTGATATTGTCGTCGTGAAGAAGTCAGGATTCCGAGGAAAAGTCATCGATGATGAAGATGGCTTGCTCACGGTCCAGGCCGGTCCCCAGCGCGTGTTGGCGCCGACACATACTGTCGATATCGTCGGGACGACGACGAGCAAAAAGACGGTGTCAAAGAAGAAGAAGGGTAAGCAAAGCTTCAATCTTCCGAGCGCGACGAACCCAGAGCAGGCAGCCAAATCGTCGTCCTCATCGTCCGATAATCTCGCCGCTTTACAGGCAAAGTTTGGAAAGAAAAAATAAACGCACAATTGTTAGCCGTGTTGATAGTAGAACCGTAGATGTATTTTAGTTATGACATTCATTCCTAAATTGAGAAGCACTTATTTTGCGCCGACGCAGGAAGCCATTCGTGAGAGGGCTCTATCGTCTATCATCGTAATCTCCACGCCTATCGTCGCGGCCCATACGTCTATCATCGTGTCTATCATAGCCACGGCGCGAATCATAACCGCGTCTATCGTCGTGACCGCTGTAAGAGCGTCTGTAATCGTCCCTCCGGTAATCGTCTCGGCGGTAGTCATCCCTGCGGTAGTCGTCCCGACGGTAATCGTCCCGTCGGTAGTCATCCCGACGGTAGTCATCGCGACGGTGGTCGTCCCGACGCCTGTAATCGTCGCGACGCCTGTAATCGTCGCCTCGGTCGTACGGCCGTCTCGCTTCGTACCGTCTGTCTCCGTACGCCGGTCTCTCTGGTCGCCCGCGCTCCGCTATACTGCACCGAATTTGCCTCCCCATAAAATCTATCTCATGCATCCCGCTCACCGCCGCCTCCGCGTCCGCCTTGCTCGCGTACCGCACGAAGCAGAACCCCCGCGGTCGCCGCGTCTCTCGGTCCAGTGGAACGTACACGTCGCCGATCTCCCCGTACCGCGAGAACGCCTCTCGTAGATCCTCTTCTCGCGCGTCGTACGACAAGTTATCGATCTTCACGCTCACCAGATCGTTCACATCCGGGCGCTCTCGACGCGCGCGATCGTCACCGTCTCGATGATGTCTTCCCTCGTCTCTTCGCGCGTCGTCTCTCCGGCCGTCTTCCGCGTCCCTCGCGTCCCGACCGTCGTGGCGATCGTCACCGTCGTCATCGCGCATCGTCTCCGCCTCGCGCGAGCGGCGCGCGCCGTCGTCGCGTCGCTCGGCTCGGTCCCCGACGTGCCGTCGCAAAAACGAAAATACCCTGACTTGATGTACAAACCTAGGGTTTGCAATGCCCACGACCGAGCCGCGGGCCGTTTGAAAACCACGCGCGTCGCGTCGAGGGCGATCGTCTCGCGACGGCGCGCGCGTCACACGCCGACGACGCGCGCGAGCGGTGTCGAATTCGTCTCTCGGTTACGTCTCCTCCGCATCACCCGCCGAGCGTGCGGACGAACGCGACGGCGAGGGCGATGGAGACGCACGGACGCGTCGACGTGACGCTCGAAGACCCGAGGATTGTTTGATTGATGGAACGAACGTGACGCGTGAGAGAACATAGACGGGCGGTGCGGCGATGGACCCGGTGAGACGCGAGTGTATCGGGGTGGATGATGACGCTCGGACGTCGTCGAGCGGAGGTTTGGGCGTCGAGCGCGGGCGAAGAAGGCGGGGGCGGTTGAGCGCGGCGTGGAAGTGGCTTCTCTTCGCGTGCGCGGCGTGCGCGCTCGGGACGACGAACGCGGGGGTTGAGATGCTCGAACCGGCGGATTGGGGGGTGTGGCCGTCTTCGCAGTTGAATCAGAATAATCTTACCGTGACTGTTCGCGGTTCGGCGTTCTTTTCGACGAATTTGTCGGCGTGTAGAGTCGGAGACTTCGTGGTACCACTCGCACACGTGAGCTCCGAGGAGGTCAGGTGCACGGTGGCGCCGAGTCTTCGGCTACGGAAAGGTTTTTCTTACGTCGAGGTGTCGATGAACGGATTAGATTTTACTAGCGATAGGATCACATTTAATCTGCACGAGCCGGTGAAGCTCGAGCAGGTTTTCCCATACGGTTGGGATAAAGGCGGAGGAGGCGTGCTCCGCCTGAGCGGCTTAAACTTTGCGCCGGGATCAAGTAAGTGCGCGTTTGGTGCCGGAGGTACCGGCACCGTCGCCGCTGTGAGCGATTTAGCGCCCTCAGAAGTGGTTTCAAGCGCGTTTATGAAGTGCGAGACGCCCGCGTTTTCAAGTCTCGGGATGACAGACGTATCCGTGCGCTCATGGAGTGACTCCGGCTCACTCAGTGGAAGTCGAGCGTTCGAGGTTTGGCAAGAACCAACTACGATCGAAATCGCCGCGACTTGGAATATGAGTCACGCTGCGCAGGGTGGAGTGGCGATTGTCCTTCAAGGGTTCGGGAATGAAGAACTCGTTGAACCCACGAATATGTTTGGTTATTCATGCCACTTCGGCACGATCACGGTAAGCGCCGTCATGGATACGCTCACTGTCAATAGGACTGTGACGTGCAAATCTCCGGCTTTGCATCACACGAACTCAACGGTTGATTTATGGATTGGGCCTAACATAGATTCATTCAAACCGAACACCTCTGTCACTTTCACGTATCCAGACATCGAGTCTGAATCAGTGGAAGTGCCGGGAGATGAAACGACAGTGGTGTACACGGGCTCTGAAATCGCTGTCGTACCGACGTACGTTTTGGCGCCGGGCGGATCCGTGATATCTGTGACAGGAACCAGCCTGTCTACAGCTTCGTCATGTAGAGTCGGTACGGATACCACGGCAATCGTGCGATTCATCTCGTCATCATACATTCAGTGCGAGATTTCACCGGGTTCCGAAGGTGGGGCGTATTTGTTCACTTCTGGTGACTCGAGCGTGCATTCGACTAATATTCATTTCGTCCCTGTCATGGAGTTGAGCTCGACTGCTCCAGTGTATGGAGGCCTCGAGGGCGGAACATCAGTCCAACTGACGGGATCTAATTTTGAACATAGCAGCGATCTGGCCTGTTTGTTCGGATCAGTAAGCGTTTTGGCGACTCATTATTCCACTACTCAGATAGATTGCGTTTCTCCGGCGCACGCAAAGGCTGTTGTTTCCATGGGCGTGGGCAGAAGAGACCTGGCATCACATTCATTCATCTCGGAGACTTCTTATGTTTACAACTCATCAAACATGCTTGCTGCTGTGATGCCTTCTGTTGTTCGAAACGTGGGTTCCACCTCCTTGACGCTCGTTTGGTCTCAGTTGTATGCTGAGAGCACGGGATGTAGAGTGGATGGCATCTTGCTGGATCCTTGCACTGTCACGGGGAGCACCAGTCCCGGCTTTGTTGAGGTGTTCTCGTATACTTTTGCCACAGATACGTTTGTGAGCGAACCGGCTGAGTTTGCATACTACGTGTCTCCCGTGGTATCAGGCTCTATTCCTGTCGTGATCCAGAACTTCATTCCAACTGTTGTCTACATGCTGGGCTCAGACTTTGTCAATGAGGCGAACGTACTTTGTGCGTTTGACGACACTGCAGTTGATGCGACATTCGTGTCGTCCGCGCTGGTCAAGTGTACGTCACATCTGGTTGGTACTCTTGGAAACAAGGACGCACAAGTTGGGTTTGGTAGCGCGAGCGCTGAAGGTGTATGGAGTCGAACAGAGATGTCCCTGAGCGCAGTAGACATTCTGAACATGACGAGCATCAGTCCAACAAGAGGCGTACTCACTGGTGGCACTGTCATCACTGTCACTGGTGAGGGCTTCGAAGGAGTTGGTAGCGTGTACTGTCGCGTGGGTACTATATCGTACATACAGTCGAGAGTCATCCGTGATGAGGTCGTTGAATGCACGTCGCCAACATATTTTGACGCTACCGTCGATGTCCAAGTGCACATTCTTGGGAATGTTTACGCCAACACGGCACAATCGTTTGTGTACACATCAGGTGTCGAACTGGTTGCTGTTCTTCCTCCCGCAAGTCCGCTGGGTGGAAATAGTGACATCCTCATCTTCGGGCTTGATGGTGAAGCAGGTGAGAGCTATAACTGTGTGATAGGTGGCTCTGTGGTGGCCAGCACGTTTGCTCGTTTTGGTGAATTGCCGTGCGTCAGTCCTGCTAGCTCCGAAGGGTTCACCGCCGTTGGTATCGGTGCGATTATTGACGACATGTTCGATCAGCAAGTAATTGAGTACGTGCGCTCGCCGATCATGCGCTCGATTTACCCTTTCAACGGACCGACCTCTGGGGGGACTCTGATTCACATTGTGGGCGAGCATCTGCGCGATTCTGCACACTTGTCTCTCGAAAGTACCATTTCTTCGAGCCACTTCTTGAGCTCGGCGTTGGTTGTGTCTGAGCTTCCCGCATCGACTGCAGCCGTACACAACGCTCGCGTGTCGATGAATGGCAAGTTGGTGAGTCATGCGCTCACGTTCACGTCTCGTGATGCGATCACTTTGAGCAACTTGAGCTTGGTGGGTATTGCTGACTCTGGCGGAAGTGTGATCGACGTGACTGGTTCAAATATGCCAAATGACCTCAGTCTGTTGTGCTCTTTTGGCTCGATTCAAGTCTCGGCGCAGTGGTCATTGAGCACCGCCGCAACGTGCGTGAGTCCTAGTCACATGGTCGACACTTCAACAGAGTTCCGCGTGCACGCTGACCGCTTTGCATCAGCAACTTCCATCGTTGTCTTTTACGTGTCGGAGTCTGCTATCACAGATGCGCTACCGCCTAGCTTGAGTGCCGCCGAGTTGCCAACGCAAGTGACAATTTACGGCGAATGGCTGGCGAGTGCGTCCTGCGACGGAGTTGCTCTTCCATTGAACACCTCGTGGGCATCTTCTTTCTCATGCACGATCGACCCTGTGAGCGTAGGTTACGCTTCAGTGAGCGTGATTTCTCGCGGTCTTACCACGAGTATTGCGTATATGATCAAGGAAACGCCTTCGCTTATGAGTGTATCTCCACCTGGAGCTTCAGACCTTCCTGGTGAGATATTCACGGTGTCTACGCGACATATGATTGGTGACGGTGAACAATTCCACTGCTTGTACGATTCCACAGATGCAGTCGAACCTGAGATTGTATCATCCGCTTTGATTCGATGCGAATCGATTGCGACGGCGAAGTTGTCGACAAGTTTCACGATCGAAGGAGGCAATGGTGTCATTGCGCTGTCCAGGCAAGCTGCACCCGTTGCGACCAGCATTTCGCCATCAACAAGCGGAGACATCGGCGGCACGTTGATCAGCATCTCAGGAACGAGCATACCGATTATAGATGCATCTGCCGTGTGCTCGTTTGGTACCATCGGGCCTGTTACGCCGCAGTCTACCACTTCTCTGATGGTTCGCTGCATGTCACCTGCCGGCGTTGCTGATGAAACAGTTCCTGTATGTGTGAGCGTTTACGGAGTACTGTCTCCATCGAGAAGTTGTGCGAATGCTTCCATCACCTTCATCGCCCCAGTCGATGCCCCTCTTGTTTTGGATCATGGTGTTTCGAGCAAGGACGGAGGATACTTCTACCTCTGGCGCAGCGCTGCATCATACGCCCGCATTTCAGTGTTGTCAACTGTGGATCTCGGACTTGGGACGGCTACAGTTTCGAGCACTCTGGCGAGCGTGTACATCTCTCCGCGTGCTGCAGGAGGTTTCACGCCAGTCTCTACCATTCCTGAGATCGGTGGGCTTTCCTTCGATCAGCTTATGGTGCAGCCTACGCCGTTGATCTTAGGAGCGAATCCGAAATTTTTTACCGACGCCGGTGGCAGTCAGGTGTGGGTATCTGGATATGATCTCGGAAGCGAGCAGCTGCGAGTGAGCGTGGATGACGAGACTACCGCATTTATCATTGTTTCGTCCGCATTGATGGTCATTGAAGTTCCCGACCACGCTCTTGGAAGATCGTTCTTGAAGGCAGGTCTAGGGAGTCGGACAGACTCGAACGGAATCGGCATTGGTCCGTTCTCTTCGGTTGGTCTCGACTACGTCGTCGGAATCAGTCTGACAAAAATTAGTCCAACTCTCGGGCCGGATGCCGGAACATCACCAAAAGTGTCGATCACAGGCGCGGGATTCTCTGATGGCTCTCCACTTGGGTGCAAATTCGGCACCATCGGGCCCACCAGCGTTTTGTACGTACACGAGAGAGAAATCAAGTGTGCGGCTCCGGGCCATGCCTTGGGAGAGGTGCCCGTCCAGATATCAACAAATGGTCGTGACTACACTTCTGGGCTCACGTACACATACGTGTATGCGCCATCTCACTTTGATTCCATATCACCGGCGATCTGGCCGACGCACGTTCCAAGTACCACCACTCTGTACGGTAAAGGAATGGATTCTCAGATGGAGAATTTGTGTGGCCCGTTCAACACATCTACTCGCGGTTTGTCAACAGACACAAGTACTGTCTGCTCGTGGGTTGCGACGACCGTAGCGGGGTTTGTGCAGGTCGGATACCACACTACAGAGGCGTACGTCAAGTACAACCCAGATCAAACACAGTTTGAGTATTACGAACCTCTCACCGTGACGAACTTGGAACCTTTTGAGGGCCCCGTCGATGGTGGTACAGTCTTGTTTATGTCGGGATCCAATTTCAGGAACGATGATGGCAACGTGATGTTCGGAACCGTCACTGTCGTGTCGCATTTCGTTTCTTCATCTCTTCGCATCATCGTGAGTCCAATGTTCTCCACGACAGGTTTGCAAACGCTATATGCGTCGACGCAGAAGACTGCTCTAACTGCCTTCTCTGCTGTTGATGAACTGTCGTTGTCATCAGTGTCGCCAGCACTTTCAACCATAGATGGTGGTCAGGATCTTGTGGTAATCGGTGACAATTTCTCTGCGCCAGCGGCGGTGTGGTGTAGAGCTGGTGCTATCGGTCCTTTGCTTGCTTATCCAACAGATGCTAAGTCGTTGAGATGCACATCACCTGCACACATGAAGGAGTCTGGCGTGCACCTCCAAGTGTCCATGAACAAACGCGATTGGAGATATGAGCTCACACCGAGTCTAACAGATCCTTCGGCAGCAGCTGGTTCGTCTTACGATTCGATTTTAACCATCGACTACGTGCTTCCGGCAAAAATATGGCGCGTGCTTCCATCAGCCGGTCACGTCACGGATTCGTCTGCAAGTATTGAGGCGTTTTACGACGTCCCGTATCCAGTGCAAGGTGCCACAGCTCGAGGCTGTTTCAACGGTCGTGACGTCTCGACTTCGTCGGACACCTCTGGGCTTTATTCGATACTGTGTACATTGGGACAAGACGCATTCATTCAGGGAATGCACGCAATCATAACGTCAGGCCCTGACGCAGCCAACACGTCATTCACTGGAATTTTCCAGTACAGCACAGCGCCGACAATCGATGCTTTTGAGCCAGAGGTGATTCACACAGGTGGCGGTACGCTGGTTTCTATCTTCCTCGCTGATGCAATAGAGAGTGGTATCGCGTGCATGTTCTCTACCTGGACTCAAAACAGCTTCAGCGGTAGGGTCGTTGTCGACGCACACTTCATCAGCTCTTCGTTGATCGTGTGCGAGTCCCCTTACGCGGCGCCGCTCACAAAAGTTGGCCTGTCGGCTGGCTTGCACGGCACAACGCCTGAAAACGCACGAGTAGAGCTCGAATCGGTTTCACGTCCACTGATTACGCATGTCGATCCCAACAACTTGTTCTTGGACGGTGGCACAGCCATCGGCATCACTGGCACTGATTTTGGATTGCAAGTCCAAGATCTTTACGGCTCTGTCGGCACCATCTCTCCACTGTCTTTGAGATGGTTAACAGCTGACAAGGTTGAAGCAATCAGCCCCGCAACGTATAGTGGCGATAAAGCGGTGCTCTTATCACATCATCTTTCAGCGAGAAGCGAGGTTTATGGCACGTTGATGACGTTCTTCAAACCATTTGAGCCAAGCCCACTGATTCCCGACGTGGTGCCAGCACGCGCAAACGCCTTCGTGCGCTTGCACGCTCTCATCGGTTTCCTGCAATCTTCTGTTCCAAGCTGTAATCCTGCTGATCCGAAGTTTTCGTTATGTCAGGAAGCGATCAATATTGGCGCCATTTTCACAAAGACGCAGCCACCAAATTTCGCGATTCTCGAAATTCCAGACACACAACTTACGGTGAACGTTCCGCAGCTTGCATACGTGGAAAGTTCGTCGCCTACGGCGGTACAACCGTCAATCTCTGTGACCGGAGGCGGTACTGTTGCAGTGGTTGCTGGCTCGAACTTTGTGGATGGAATGACGTTCGTGAGAGTCGGAGATGTGGCGCACGCAATACCTCACGCCTCACACTCATTTGTTTCGTCAACGCTGATACGCTTTGAGGTGCCAGCGGGTGTTAACGCGAGACGAGACAGTGTTTACACTTCCAACGCGTTTGCAGACTCGGAGTCTTGGGTAAACTCCGGTGATTACACGACATTTTACAACTTACCAACGTTGGTTGCAAGTTCTCAACCTCTTGTGTTTGTTGAATCTGGCGGTGCTCAAGTGGAGATACAGGGCACTGGGTTCCAAGCGAATCGCGACCTGTACTGTAAGTTCGGTGAAGTCCATATCAAGGCTACGTACCTGTCGTCGATTAGTTTGGAGTGCATATCTCCGGCGATGCAAGTGACCTCCTTTCCGGTGCGCGTGTCGAACAATATGTTGGATTACAGCAGATATGTGAACGTGGCAGCCAACGCTGGTAGTGACGACGATGTCAGTGTCCATGTTGTTGGAGACTTCGTTAATGCCGTGGATACTGTTAACGGGGAGTATGGACCAACTACTGGAGGGACACTTTTCTCAGTCTCCTTCTCTTCGACTCCTCCAGCCGTTATCTCGTGCAAATTTGCATCGAGACTGGGGACAGGTTTTATTTCTGATTTTCCCGCAAACACAGCAAAGTGTGTGACACCGCCAAGCGACGCTGGATTCGTTCCGGTGCTTCTCGCATCAAGTTTGTCAGCTGGCGCCCTGTATAGCTCGACTGCAACGCAATTCGAGTTCCTCGCGGCTCCTGAAATCGATATGGTGTTCCCAGAAATGGGCTTCTTAGGCGGCGGAACATTGCTCAACGTGCACGGGGATAACTTGATTCAGTCTCTATCTGTCGCCGCTCACGGCTCACCTCTCATGCCAGGAACGCTCATTGAAGGTCTCTCTTGTCGTTTCGGAGGTATTTATACCGTCGCTGCCGTCCATGTATCGTCCACGATCATGCGATGCGAGAGTCCCGCATTTGCGACGTCATTGGTGGAAGTGCCTCTCGTCATCGATCTCTCCGTCAATGCCCTTGACTGGGTTGGATCGCAGATCGCGTTCGAACCGATCGCGGACGCGATGATATCTTACTTATCACCCTTGGCGGGTTCTCGTGCGGGTGGAACTACCGTCACGATCGCAGGCGGTTACTTCACTCCGAACGCACCAGTGTGGTGTAAGTTTGGTGCCACTGGACCGATTCACGCTCTCTTCAACGGAGACGGAAGCGTGCGGTGCATGTCTCCAGCCAAGTACCAAGGAGACATCCCAGTCGCAATATCACGTGGTAATGCAAACGATTTCGCATTCACCACGTCGACAATCTTTAAAATGTAGATTAGATTAGCTCTAGAATTATCCAAGGATTTAGCAAACCTGAGACATTCCCGAGGCGACGACATTCCCAATGACACGCGCTTTGCGAGACTCGACCAGGGGCCGCACTCCTCGGCGATGATGGCATCTCGCGTGGCCTGGCTCGTTTTTTTTGTACTCTGCTCGTCGCGTCTCGCGAGCGCGCAGAGTGCGTCGTGTCCGATCGATGCCAAACGGATAGAACTCACTGGTCTGGGCGAGGCGTGCGCTGAGACGCGGAGCGACGTTTGCGAGTCATGCGTGTGCTTCCTTGCCGAGGCAATCCTCGACGCAGGGTACGATTTCGCGAGTTTAGATTTGAATGCCTGCGCGCTGGAAAATATCAGCGTCCTCCTGGCGAACGGGGCGACGATCGCCGGGTTCCTTCGAGTCTATGCTTGCCCACAGACGCGGCCAAACTGCCTCTCGCCGCCCACGCCCACGCCCACGCCCATGATGGGACTGGAGTCACCTCCAACCTCCGTGTCGCCGCCGACGCCTCCGATCCCGACAGAGTGGTTGCGAGGAGGATCAAATACGAACGGCAGCGGCGTGTATTTGGAAGCTTTCGGTGCGATCGATCCCACCAACGAGACTGTGGCCGGTGATTCCGGCAGCAAAGCGCAAATCGCCTTCGGCGCTGGTCTGGGAAGTGCCATCGCTTTGTTCATCCTGTGTGGTGTCTTATACCATCGGTACAGGATGTTCGTCGCTCCAAAACTTCGAATGAAGTACGCGCACCTCTTGAATCCATGCCAGTATCCGCTCTCTCTGGAGCTGCGAAACTGCACGTGTGGAAACCTCGAGAAGTTGATTCTCCAAGACATCAACTTTTGCGTTCGCAACGGACAGTTGGTAGGCATTCTCGGACCAAGCGGGTGTGGTAAAACGACCTTATTAAACGCCATAGTACACGGAGACATGGTTACCAAGGGATCGGTCACGATATGCGGTGAAAAGGTTGACGTGAAGAGGCATCGAATAGCGTTTGTCCCACAGAAGAATGGTTTGATTCACCATCTGAGTGTTTTTGAAACCATTTACTTTGCGGCTCGTCTCAGGTTGCCATGGTTTTTCGATGACGTGAAAGAGCGAACGAATAGAGTCATTCATGAGCTTGGTTTAGAGAACGTTGCCGACGCATACATCGGAGCTACTCTTTCTGGCGGCGAACTGCGACGAACGTGCATTGCAGCCGAATTAATTTGCGATCCAGAAATTTTGATTTTGGACGAGCCTGCATCTGGGTTGGACGCGCATGCGGCGAAAAATGTTTTCTCAACGCTTCGAAATCTTGCGCGTGACAAGGAAAAAGCCGTCGTTGTCTCTGTTCATCAGCCTTCTCGACGCATACTCATGAATTTTGATGTTGTACTGCTCCTTGGTCCGACGGGACGAATGCTCTGGAATGGATCCCCACATGACCTCGATGACATACTTTCGCACATTGGGATGGAACCACCGCTAGGTGTGAGCACCGCGGAATGGCTACTCGATATTGCCTGTGAGAAAGAGGTACAGTTTCTTGAGAAAGTGACTGCGTACGAGAAGCTTCGATCCACTTCTAAAACATGCGAGACCATTGTGAGGCCAAACCTTATGATTCCAGTGCGAGAAACTGTGAACGCTAGTTCAATCATCACCCAGTTCCATCTTCTCACGTGGCGCTCTTGCATTACCGCATTTCGGGACAGACGAGTTCTGATCTCGCACTGGATAATACCGATCTTAATCGGAATACTTCTTGGCGCGTTGACGCAAGCCTCGGACGATCTGGAGGGATTTCAGAATCGAATGGGCGCGGTGTTCTTCCTCTTAACTTTTTTTGCTCTGTCGGCGATGACATTCATCGACATTATCAATGTCGAGCGCCCCGTCATCGTACAACAGATCAGATCACAATATTACCACCAAGAGGTATACTTCATCAGCAAGCTTCTGAGTGACTGGTTCCTGCTTAGAGTTTGTCCGACAGTGCTATCGGTGAGCGCGTTCTACTTTTTGATGGGACTCCGGGACTCTTTCTCAGCATTCATGACCTTTTTGGGTTTGGTGCTCCTGTTTGTTTTCGTACAGTCCTCTACATGCGCCGTGATGGCGTTCTCATCCAAATCGACGGCAGCTGCCACACTAGCGAACACGGTCGTTCTACTCACTACAGCAGTGTTTGCTGGTTATCTGATCAACATAAAGCGTTTGCCGACGGGTAGTGGATGGGTTGCCTTTTTTTCTCCCTTTTTCTATGCTTGGGGTGGGTGCCTCGCTTCGGAGATGAAAGGAGGTCCGTACTTATTCAATGCCGTTTTCGGCTCGTCATCCGTCGAGGTACCGGTGTCGGGACAGACGTACCTCAACGTGATCGGTGTCGAGTTTGATGATGTCGAACGCAATTTCATCGGGATCGTGCTTTTACTACTTGGTTTAATCGTCATCGGTCTAATTACGCTCAGATTTCGTGTAAAGTTCGCGCAGCGTGAGTGAAGTGAACGAACATCTGGTTTACTTGTAACATGATGTCCCTAGTCGCTATCCGCATCACTATCAGACTGTGGCGAGATACGCTCAGCCCAGAATACCATCGTGTCGAATATATCGTTGTCCTCACTTTCGTCATCATTATCGTTTTCTGCAGCCTCTTCTCTAGCCTCAAATTCTATTTGGCACAGACTTTGCCATCGGATGATGACGTCTGCGGCGTCCTTTGTACCTTGCAAAACATCTTCGGGAAGTGTAGCGACAGATTTTGCCTTGTCTAATAACTCGCTCATCCCTTGAATTGCGGCTAAGACCACGGCGGCATCAGGATCAGTCCGTATACGATCGCACAGAAGTTTGAATGTTGCCGCACAAAGTGCGAGAAAATTTGCATCTTGTCCCTCAGCGCTCATCCAAGGAGTGAAAATGAACTCAACGGCGCGAATCGCAGTGACGCGTAGTGGAGTACAACGAACTGGTTCCGAGGCGTACGCGAGCGCTTCGAGTGTTTTCGGTAAGAACGGTCTGAGGCACGCCACGCCGCTATTGAAATATTGCCCCAGTGCTTCTGCAGCGGCCATTTGTTCTTCCACGACACCAGTCATGACGGCGACCGTGTGTGCTGGGGCCTCTACTTGCGCCAACGCCGTGACGGCAGCAGACGCTGCATCGACAGCGAACGGTTCAAACTTCTCTTCCAGAGCAACTGATAGCTTACCCAAACACTCGTGTGCGCACTCCCGCGCGATCGTATCACTTGAATTCAATGCTGCAGCGGCAGTCTGGAGCAGAAGCTCAAGTAATCCCGGTGGCGCGCTCTCAATCCCAACAATTCCCAAAATCGTCGCCATCGTCGCCATCGATCGCGCCCTTAGTTCCATACCACCTGTGCTTTGATCTGCCGCTCGCACGCGTTCGAGCAAGAATAAGAGAGTCTCTCCGGCGTGAGGCGTGAAAAAGTCCAACGAGCACTGCGCCACGGCGCCGAGAGTAGACGTGGCTCGAGCCGCGGTGCGCCACGACTGATCCATTGTTTGTGCCTTCAAAGCTTCGACGAGAGCTGGAAGTTGAGGCGCGATGGATTCGCCTAGTGTATTTTCACACATCTTGGATAACGCACCGTGTATGGCCCACTGACAGCTTCTCGATGAATTCATCAGCATGTTTGTGATGAGCTCGAACATCGTTTCAGTGTACTCATCTGCCATCTCCGGTTGACAGTGCGTGGCAATCATACACAACGCCTCGGTGGCAGCCATACGCAGATTGACATCGCAGCTTTTCATCACTTCTTTGAGCTCGGAAACGAGTGCTGGAAGATGAGACGTTACTCCATCGCCGCGTGTTCCCTCTGTGACCGCGGCGAACACTTTCCATGCAGCTGGCGCGCTCGTTCCCGCTCTCAGTCTCTCGAGAAGATTTAGAGCCGGATCAACCACTAAGTGATTTGGAAGAACACCGGCGAGAGATCGAAGAGTACTTCGCGCTAAAGCTGCCGGTGATGAGCTCTGCTCATCGCGACCTTCGCCTTCGAAGTCTTCCTCAATGTCGCCGGACACCTCTGACTCCATCGCTATCGTCAACAAAGGTGGCACAAGCGCCGACGCGATGGAACCGCCTTTCCCGAGCACGTGCGGATCGTACTGCAAATCGATCTGCCCGTCCATTGTCTCAGTTAAGAGTTCAGTGTGTTTCTTTGCTAACTTGGTCAGGATGAGTGATGCCGGCGAGCGAACCGCTCCGGTGTCCAGTGACGCATCGGTGGCGACGCGGAGCGCAAATTCGCAAATTTCCAACATGGCGACATTGTGTGAGCCGTACACCTCCTCTCGTACGCTTACCAAGGCCGACATCGTCTCGAGGAGATGACCGAGTAAATTTTCATCCCTGGCTTCGAGCGTACCTCTGGCTCCTCGCACCAGAGTCACCGCGCACTCGGCTAGCGCAGGACCGAGCGCCGGCGCAACGCACCATGACGACGCCACTTTTCCAATCCCCACAACCGCCGCCACTCGCACAGCCGCGTCTGCGTCCGCGAGTAATCGTACAAATGACACTAATAATCTCTCGTGCTCGCTCGCCATGCGATCTCCCAGAGACTCGCACATCGCCGCCAACGTTCGCGCGCTTGCTTCTCGATGACTCGCCAAGGCGCTCCCCGCGCCCGCCTCGACCGCGCGCGCGATCTCTACCAAACCCACCCCACCGTCCGCGTCCACCTCAACACACGTCGCCAGAACGTTCACGACGTGCACCATCGCCGGCATCGTCCCTCGATCCCGCTCCCGTTCGTCGAAAAGCGCCCTCAACGCGAGCGTTCTCACCCGCGTCTTGCTCTCCGCATCCATCCCCTCCCACGCCCGTTTCATCGCCCGCGCGGCGACCACGCCGCACATCTGTCGCTCTGCCGACGTCAACGTCGTCATCACCGCCCCCTCTAAGAGCGCTAAGACGCACGCACGCGCTGACGTCGACGTCGACGTCGCCATTCGCTCGAGCGCCGCCGACGCTCGCTCGTACTCGACGGAGTACACGTTCGGCGTCGCCAACGCTCTGGCGCACGCCAAGGCGTCGACATCGAGCGACATTCGAACGACGGTGATTTTATCCAACGTCTATTCGAGCTCGCGCACCCCACGCGCGCGGTGATCGCACGAGGAGTGACGGAGAAGGCGAACTGTTGTCACGCGTCAGTGTGAGGCGGGCGACGATTCGATTGATATCGTGCGCAATGTCGCGAGCCGTTCTCCCGAATCCGAGCGCCGCCCGAGCGGGATCCGCGCTCTGCGGACGACGGACGACGCGACGGACGACGCGGTGCGTCTCTCCGGGGAGAGCACTGCCTCTGGAAGCGATCGCGGACGTCGCGGTGAGCAACCAAGTGCTCGCGTACGGGTCGATTGGTTTCTTTGGCGCCACGATCGCCTTCTTCGCGTACAGAGCGTTCGGATCGGCGTTCATCGGACCGCAGGCGAGCGCGAGTCACGTGTTAGTGAAGTCACGGGCGAGAGCGGACGCGCTGAAGAGGGAGATCGAGGAGGCGGTGGCGGGCGGCGCGCCGCTGCGGGCGACGTTTGCGCGCGTCGCGGAGAAGGAGAGCACGTGTCCTTCCTCGAAGAAGGGTGGGGAACTGGGATCTTTCAGACGCGGGCAAATGGTTCGTGAGTTCGACGACGTCGTATTCACCGGTGATTTAAATACCGTGCTCGGTCCGGTGGACACGCAGTTCGGCTCGCACTTGATCTTAATCACCGACAGAGACGCCGACGCAAAGTGAGTTCAGGATCTCCTTTAGCGCGTTGTATCCGGGCGAACGGTCGCGTATTCACGTAAGCGTAAATCTCTTCGTCCGATCTCGTCCGTTCACTCCCGTCGTCACTCGCTCGTCGCCTTGGATCCCCCCGCGACGCGCTACGGCCACCAATCCAAATCGAAACTCGAAATCGTCATCATATCCATCCCACGGTGGAGCTCGATTGAGTGAAGATTGTCGATCCGAGGGACTCTTTCTGGATTTATGACTCGTGAGTCATTTCTGCAAGATAAGCGCCCCGGCGGCGTCGCGTCGCGTCGTCGACGCTTCCCGCTCGTCCCGCACACGTCGACGCTCGGGGCACTCCAACGAGGCGGACGCTCGCGAGAGTCTACGCTCGAGCGTTCGTTCGCGCGCGTCGAGATGTCGCTCGCGATGCGCGGCGCGCTCGCGGACTGCGCGCCGTCCACGGGGACGATCGCGTGCACGGGCTCGCGAACTCGGCGCGTGGGTAGGTACGAGCGCGTCGCGCGATGCGACGGTGGATCGAACGCATCGCGGGCGAAGACGCGCTCGAGGGCGATCGCCGATGGGTCGCTGTTGGCGTCGCCGAAGAGCACGCGGAGACGGCCGGAGGACATCGTAAACGGAGAGGTGAGCGGGTACGAGGTAGAGCAGAGAGCGCTCGAGGCGTGCGCGGCGCGACAACTGGCGAACGTAATGGCACCGAAGATCTCGGTGCCGAGCGAGACGTTGGATACGGCATACGAGCGGTGCCGTGAGGTGACAGCGGAGTACGCGAAGACGTTTTACCTCGGCACAAAGTTGATGACTCCGGAGAAGCAACGGGCAATTTGGGCAATTTATGTTTGGTGCCGACGGACGGATGAGTTAGTGGACGGACCGAACGCGTCACACATCACGCCGGAGGCGCTCGATAGATGGGAAGAGCGCCTGGAGGGTATCTTCGAGGGCAGACCCGTCGACGTGATCGACGCGACTCTCTGCGACACCTTGGCGAGGTTCCCAGTCGACATTCAACCATTTAGGGACATGATCGACGGCATGAGAATGGATCTCGTCAAGCCGCGATACGAAACCTTCGATGAACTCTACGAGTACTGCTATCGAGTCGCCGGTACGGTCGGATTGATGTCCATGCCCATCATGGGTTGCGACGAGAACTTCACCGGCGACGTCAAGAAGGTTTACAAGGCCGCATTGGCACTTGGCTTGGCCAATCAGTTGACAAACATTCTGCGCGATGTGGGAGAAGACGCCCGGGAGCGAAATCGCATTTACGTTCCGCTCGAGGACTTGAAGAAGTTCGGCATCAGCGAGCAAGAGGTCTTGCGCGGCATGTTCAGCCCGACCACTGGCAAGGTTGATGACCGCTGGGTGGCGTTTATGAAATTTCAAATCGATCGTGCTCGCAAGGTCTTCAAAGACGCCGAAGATGGCGTAAATTGCTTGCACAAGGACGCCAGATGGCCGGTTTGGAGCGCGCTCGACGTGTACAGGAGCATTCTAGATGCGATAGAGGCCAACGGATACGACAACTTCACGCAACGTGCATATGTACCGAAGGTTGACAAGTTCTTGATGCTTCCGCAGAGTTACATCAAGGCGCAAGAAGCCCGCACGTCGTAAGAAATTGCTCATGAAGCACGCTCGCCGCAGTTTGTCACGCACACGCTACAGCATTCCACATGTCTTGTATTACACACATTCATTTTCCTAACTATTTATTCAATCGGTCCTGATTTATTTCTCTCGGCGCCGAGGAGCAGGTCGCGATTTCTTTGACGCTCCTAATTTTTCTTCTTCTTGTCGAGGTTCACAGTTCGGGCAGATCCAGTGCGATGGTGCGTTTTTATTATCCTTGATGCCTACACAGCGAGTGTGCATCCAGACTCCACATTTATCGCATGCAATCATACGTTCACCGTCATCATCGCCCGTGCCGCACATGCACTGTACTGTCCACTGCTCAAAGCCACCTTGGTATCGGAGCTCACTCGCCACATCTGCGCCATCGCCTTGAACTTCAACTGAAGCGCCGTGCATTTTGCGCCATCCCAAGCGAGTCTTATCGCTCTGACCCTCGTGGCCTTTGACTCTTGTGACTTTGAAATCGGAAAGGACGACGTAGAGATCTCTGAACGCCTTCGACGTGACACGCTTCAGGTCTCCGAGAGTCGGCTCGCTCGGGAGGAAAACCAACTCTGGAGGCGGTCGAGTGATGGTACCAATTTTTTGACGCGACTTGGCGACATTAGGACCCAAGCCGCTGGGCGCAGGTCCCTGACTGCGAGTATGAATCACGGCTGTGGCGATGATACGAATTGCCTTTTGCGCATTCGCTGCCGGTTTAGTGAGCTTACTCGCTGGAGTCGTGTCAAGTAAGTCGTCGACTGCAGTATATATTTTGACGAATTGTTTCGTGTCGAGAAGTATGCGAGCGGCATCAACCAGAGGAGCACCTTTCACCGTGACTCGCTGGCCGTCCTTTTGCTGCGCTCTCGCCGGTTTGTAATTTTCCAGCACATCATGATACAGCGCAAGAAGATCTCTATCCACCTCCGCAGCAGTGAGTTCATCGATTGAACGAGCAGAATGGGTCGCCCTGCAGTGTGCAAGCGATTCGGTCCTAACTTCAACGTTCGTATCTTTCTTGATAGTCGTCATGATAACATCACCGTTTGCTTGTTGCTTTGAACTCAAATCAAGAGTGAACTCCATCTGAGTCGCGCCCTGTCGTCGAAGAACGATGCCTCGCTCTCCACTCGGAAGGATGACCTTCACGTCGTTTACGGTCTTCAAGATGTGATCTAACAATCCCGTATCCCCGATGCCCTTTTCTCTGGCCCGACTACGAACCTCCTGACGAGAGATCCATTTATTCTGTGCATCTCTGAGGGCGAGCACGCATGCGTTTGCGGCGACGTTGAGTCGAGCTTCGCTCCATCTGGACGCCGAAGCTGGTAGGCTACGAGTGTCTCTGGCGCGTGCATCCCACTGAACCATCGCCTCGCTCGGTAGGTTGATCTTCAATTGTCGCTGAGCAGAGTTTGGGGGTGTTTCCTCTTCACGAGGTCGCAAAGCCCTGGCGCGCTCAGTTCGTGGTGGAGCGGATGGTTGCGTGGGCGCGAGGTTAGTCTTCATCTTCTTTGCCGAAGGCTCGCCGCTCGGTGGTGGTCGTCGCGCCATCTTGGGGGAATCGGTGACGTTACGCTTGTATTCAGCACCCTTCTCGATGACTTCCACTCCAGCCAAAACAGCGGCGACACCGTGAAGGGCCAATCGCTCCGGTGCGCGCTGCCCTTTCTTCACGGCAAGCCGTATATCTCTTTGTAATTTCATCACTTGATTCACCAACTCTCCGAGCGTGTTGATCGCGACACCGGCTTTACCGAGTACTGTGATGTATTTGTCAACGAGCTCAATCATATCAACATCGCCTTCTTTTTTCTCTTTATCCAGCAAGTCTTTGACAATTACGAAGTCGTTGCGGAGCTGGCGCAGTGGGAATTTACGCAAGAGCTCAGTCGCACGTTTGTGGGTCATCAACGTGTTTCCGAAGCTGCCTTTTCCGAAGATGTAGCCATATGTCCCGTACCACGTCGCTCCGCGTGATACGGGATTCAGTAGTCGAAGCTCCACTCCGTATTTTTGACTCACATCTTCGACGCTCACCTCTCGCGCTCTGAGTTGATAGCATATGGTCTCCCACAAACCCATCAATTGCGCTCCACTGAGGGTCATACTCCCCGCCTCGCGGCCGTTTACTCGCTTCAAGTGACCAAAGCCGTTTGCGTGTATCAAGCCGTGCAACAGGTGCGTTTGGTGATCTAAGATGGAGCACTCCTTGTCAACCTCATCACATACCGAGCACTTGCGCTCGGACGCACTCACAGCACAGCAACAAAGCTGACAGATACGCTTCCCTGCGAGCTCAGGCTTGCTCCGTGCCTTGAAATCAGTGTGCACGATGAAATGATACTGTCGCTTGTTCACCGGATGATGAACCCAACCGATGCATCTACAGCAGTCGCAGTGAGGTCGCTCCGATTCTGCCATGGCCTCTTCATATATTCTAAGCGTCGTCTCGTGGGGCTCGCCCTTCGAAAGCGTGACCGTGTATCCCATGATCCCGAACTCAGTGTACTTCCCGTCGCACGCCGCATATCTGTTTAGAAACGATTTAACGTTGTCTCGGAAAGGACCACTGTACGAATTGTCTCGACTAATCCACGGTGTCGGTTCCTTAACCACGTTATCGCTTCTCCACTTCGGATTTTCGTCCTCGTCACTTGCCTTGGTGGTTGTCCCGTTCGCGCTGCGTCGTCGCCGAGCCTCCTGCTCCTCCACCCTCGCTCCTTCGCTCGACGTAGACGCCGCCGACGCGTCGCTCTTGCTTGTTCCCGCGCTGTCTGAATCCTCGTCTCCCTCGCTCTCCTCCTCTTCGTCGCTCTCGCTCTCTTCCGCGCTCTCGTCGTCGCTCTCCGAGGATTCCTCCCGCGCCGCGCCGAGCCTGAAACCCCAGTTTGCCGGCGTCAGCGCCCCGACGACGCGTCCAACGAACCCTCTCTCGCGTCTTTCCTCGCGCGTCGCCCTCGATCGAAGCGGTGAGCGCGAGCTCGTCCGCGCGAGCTCGGTCGACCTCGACGCGGTGCCATCGTCGTCCGACGTCTCGGACGCGCTCTCGCTCTCGCTCGCCCTGCGACGGGCGGGACGACGACGCGCGGTCGGCATCGAGCGGCCGCGCGCGATCGCACGGCGCGCGGCCGTTCACGAAGGACGCGACGAGTGCGGCGCGCGCGCGAGCGAGGAGCCGGAGTTTCGTTTACCCTTGGCTGAGGGACTCATCCTTGATTTATGACTCAAGGAGGGGAAACGTCTGCCGCGTGCACGCGGCGCGTCGCGCATTGCGCATTGCGTTCCGCCTAAAATAATTTACAACTCTGCATTCATCGAGCGTCGCCCTAGAGATCGACGCTCGAAGTCACCGGTTAGCATACCGCAGGCTGCTGAGACGTCGTCGCCTCTCGTTCGCCGAATGGTGTGCGAAATACCCCCCAATGCGCCGCAAAATCGATGCACCGCGTTTCTAGATGGTTTCACGTGATCGACGCCCTCGATCGAGTTCCAAGGGATCACGTTCAGGTGCGCACCGGCACCGAATTTCCGCTTCAGTATGCGACTGAGAGCTTGCGCTTGGCTCGGTGAGTCGTTCACGCCAGCCAGGAGCGTGTACTCGAACGTGACGCGGCGACCTGTTTCCCGAAAATACATCTTCACGTCGTCCAATAAGTCCTCATACGGATAGTGCTTCGCAGAAGGCACAATTCTAAGGCGAGTCTCCTGGTCAGGGGCATGAAGACTGATCGCGAGTGTCGCCTGGAGCTTCTCCTTCGCGAGCTTCGCGAGCGAGTTCGGAATACCGACGGTCGAGACTGTGATGTGTCGACCGCCAATGCCAATATCTTCGTTCAAGCACCGAATCGCTCCTACGACGGCTTTCATGTTAAGCATCGGTTCGCCCATGCCCATGAACACGACGTCGGATACGCGTTTGCCGTATAACTCCTCCAACTCTAGCACCTGCGACACGATCTCACTCGCCGAGAGGTTCCGCTTGAAGCCTTGCAGTCCAGTGGCGCAAAACGAACACTTCATCGCGCATCCTACCTGCGATGACACACACGCCGTGAGACGATTCTTATCCCACCCATCGACGCCTCGAAACATCGTCTCTACATCCGCCCTTCCCAACACCTCTCCGCTCCCGTCACGCGCGTAACACGACGCGTCCGGGATCCCCACAGCCTCCACGAGCTCTCGCTCGCCCACTCGCACGCTGATCTTCCCGGCGCCGTCCCTACCGAGCGAGCCCTTGACCACGTCTAATCTTCCAGTGGACCACCCGGCGTCCTCCATCGCTCGACGCATCTCTCTCGGGAGCAGCTCCATGTCCTCGATCGCTCGCGCGCGTCGCTTCCCGTACAGCGAATCGACCAATTGCTTCGCCCGCCACGCCGGCGCCGCGCACTCCTCCGAGACGACGCGTCGAAGGACATCGAGCGAGCTCGCGATGAGCGTCTTCGCGGACATCTCCCGCGGACGCGCGCGCGCGGGCGAGGACGTCGCGCGCACGTCTCGGTGTCGAGCGGCGGTGCGCCTCGAGCGCACTTTTTGCCAACCACCGCGCCGCCGGGACGCGCACACCGCCGCGCGCCGACGATGGCGACGACGGCGACGGCGACCGCGCTCGAGGGGACGACGGCGGTGATGGAGACGACGACGGTGCACGCGACCGGAGCGACGGAGACGCCGGCGACGCGCTCGCACGTGTCGCCGTTCGCCAAGGCGAGGGCGGCGAGGGCGGCGGCCGGGACGACGACGACGACGACGATAGAGGCGGTGGCGAAGGAGACGGCGAAGGTTGAGAATCTGGCGACGGAGAAGAAGAAGGAGACGAAGACGGAGAAGGAGACGGCGAAGGTCGAGACGCTGGCGACGGAGAAGAAGGAGACGAAGACGGAGAAGGAGACGGAGACGGCGTCTACGGCGCAGAAGACTTCGGCGCAGCAGTCCGACGCACATCTGAGACCGACACAGAAGACTTCAGGACAGAAGGGCGGTAAGATGAGTGGAGCTGGTGCGAAGAAGCGAAAAGACGGTGGCGGCAAACAGAAGAATCAAACGCAGAAGAAGCAAAAAATCGGCGATGCCAACGCAAAGTTCACAAAGAAAGATTGGACGTGCTCTAAGTGTAGTTATACGAACTACTCGAAGAACAAGGAGTGTAGAAAGTGCAAGACTTCGAAGCCAGTGAAATCGGGCCGTAACGCCGCAGAGGAGTATTTGGCTGCGTGGGCAATCATGGAGAAGACCGAGGTGGAACCAATCCATCACGAATACCTTCTGAAACAAGTGGGCATGCTCAATGAGCTTCGAGAAGAATTTTTCGAATTTTTTGTTCAATACTGTGCGTCCATGGTTGGAGATCGCAGAAAACGAATGCGGCGCAGCGCCATCAAGGCCCACATTCGCATGACTCAAGTTGTTGATGCGCTAGCCAACAAGGATGTGAGCCAAGGAGGAAGTGACAGCGACGGCGATGGTGAGAGCGAGAGTGGGAGTGAGAGTGAAGAAGATAAGAATCCGTCGGAGGTCCCGACCGATACTACTATGACTGATGCAACCCCGGCTGCTGAGCTCGCAGTTGCGCCGTCTCAAGGCGCAAAGAAGAACAAATCGCGTGGGAACAGAGGTGGGAAGAGAGGCAGAGGTGGCGCTGGTGGAGCGACTAAAGCTGCGACGTAGCGACTAAGAGCGAATGTAGTGAATTTACAGAGTACCGTACTCTAGATCCTAATTTACGCTTTCAATGAAGTCTACGCTTCCTCTTGGCATCGACTGCGGAGATTTTAGAGGAGACTTTGCTGAGAGGAGGATCTCGGCGCGTTGCCTAGCCCGTTTACAGCTCATCAACAGCTCGCTCAACGGTGTACTGTTTGGACCGTCTAGCGATGGCGTATGCATGGGCGTTCTCGGTGTGCCCGTGTCTTCTATTGATACCGACAGCCTCGAAAACTCAGCCACCTCTGGTTCTACTCGTTCAGGCGTCCTCGATTTCAGCGCCAAGTTTTCTTCATGCAGAACGTTGACGAGACATTCTAACTGCGCTATTCTTTCATTCGCCTCGTCAAGTTGTCTCTTCAGCTTGAGCTCCATCGCAGTTGACTTTTCAAAGTTCATCACGACTCGATTACGGATGTTTCTGGCTCGACTGGCATACTTCAACGTGTTCAACGTCTCGTCCGCGTTGATGTCAGCGGGCGACACGCACGCAAACATTACCGTTCGGCTGTTGCCTCCGAGCGAGTCTTGCATTAATCGCGTCAACTTTGAATCTCTGTATGGTACGTGTCCCCACTCACGTCTGTTCACGTCTGTGAGAGCAGAGATGCAGTTGGACAAAGCGAGCAAGCCCATGTTGATTTGCACGCCCTCCTGAAACCGCTGTCCTCTATTTTCATTGAGCGTAACGCGCTCTGAGCCCGCGAGATCGACCAGATGGAGCTTGGCAAAAGTTGCCTTGGCGTCTCCAACCTTGCACTTAACATTGAGCGTGAGTATCGCGTGCGAACGGCTCGATCGAACGTTCATCGTGCTCTCCGCTGTGGCTCGTCGAAGGATACCTTCATTTAAGACCGAAACGCAAGCGCCCACGTTGTTCACCTCTATCATTCGCGCCCCGTTCAGATACACCCCACCCTCGGTTGCGTTCTCCCTGATGGTCACCGGCGGTGTTAGCTCATCGCCAGCGTCGACGAGCAAATCTCGAATATTGTCCTTGTAAATCTCTATAAAGGACGACACGACTTTCACTTCTGTGTCGCGCACTCGAGCGGTGGCCACCGCTTCGAAAAGTGTCTCGAAGACTCGCCTCGCCATGCCTGGATTGTCTCCGCCCATCCCCATCGTGTGCGTCTTTCCTGACCCCGTCTGCCCGTACGCCATCACGCTCCCGTTCAGCCCCCTGAGCGTACCTTCAACGATATCTCGCACGTTTGCGTCGTATGTCTCCCGTAACTCATCCTCGCTTCCCGTCACAACGCCGTCGTAGGTGAACTGTCTCCCGCTCTTCGTTAACACGCTGTCGTCGCTCGACGTAAGCGCCTCGGACGCGTTCGCCTCGATCTCTCTCGCGATCAGCGGTCGCACGACCGCTATCACCTTGACGCAGTCCGCGCCGACGACGAACCCGGCCGTCGACGAGCTCCTATGGCTCGTCGTCGGCGAAGAAGATCGCTGCGAGCGCTCGTCGTCGTCGTTCGTCCCTCGAATCGTCGCCGACCTCGATCTCGACATCGCTCTCGACGGGGAGTTCGGAACGGAGTGCGGCACGGAGCGACGAGAATCTGTGACGTCGGATGTCATCGCGAACCGACCGAGCGCCCGCGCGCGCGCGAGTGATGAAAAGATATGAAAGATTAACGAGTGGCAACGAGCGCGCGGCGCCGAATAGAAACGCCGTGAAGCGGATTGTGCATGAGTGAGTGATGTACACAATGCGAGCTAAGTCTACGGGATTATTCGCGCCTTTTGACTGTCGAATTAATGCACCTAGGCGTTCGCCTTCGCCTCGGCCTCCCGTCGTCGCGCTTCCTCCGCTTCTCTCTGTTGCGCCAGAACCGCCTGAGGATCGTGAAGATCGAAATTCTTTCGCGCGTCCTTGAGCTTGGCGTTCATCTCCAGCAGCTCGTCTACGCGCGCAAATTTCTTACGATCGTTCCGAATCACGTACAGTAGATCCTCCGTCTGCATCCGTCCTCGACGCTCCGCCACTTCCATCGCTCGGTGCGCCACGTTTGTGAGGTACTCCACCAACATGTCCTCCATCAACTCCACGCTCTCCGGATCCGGCTCCTTCGCGTCGCCGAATCCGTACATCATGTACGACAGATCCTTCGCGAACGTTCCTTTGCGTCGAACAAACGCCTCGCCGTCGTCTTCCTCGGTATCTTTCGCCAACTCACCGTCTCGAGGATTCGCTCTCGGCGCCCCGCTCGTCGTCGCCGCGCTCGCGGGCGCGCGCTTGGCCACCTCCATCGCGGACGCGCTCGCGACGTGCACCACCGGCGGCGCTCTTTCGGGGACAACGATCGGTACGGCGCTCATGGGTGCGACGCGATGCGAGCGCGCGTGTGAAGGGTTCGATCGCGTCGGTTTTGATTTTTTCCAGCCGTCAACCTCGGGCGCCGTCGTGGCGGTCGTCAAACGTCGACGCGAGCGCGGACGCGGACGCGGACGCGAGCGCGATAGGGACCGAGACGAAGACTCCGAGGCGAGCGAGCGATACCGAGCGTCGCGTCGTCACGTCATGGCGCCGGAGGGCGAACGAGCCACCGAGGCGGCGGCCGAGCGCTCGAGTGGAAAACCGGAGACGACGGCGAGCGAGCGCGTGCACGCGGGACGAGCGATGAGAGAGAACGACGTGGTGCTCTTGGAGATGAACGATGGCGAGCGAGCGACGTTCGCGACGCTGCGAGCGGGGAAGGTTATCGATTTGGGGAAGCGGGCGAGAGCGCCGGCGGAGGCCTTCTTAGGCGCGCCGTTTGGATCGATGTACGAGGCGCGACACAACACCGGAGAGGTGGAACGCATAGGAGCGACGACAGAGGTAATAAACGAGGAGACAGACGACGAGGAGGCGTTCGCGGCGCCGTTGGCGGACGAGCGGTCGAATAAAAACGTGCCAAATACGGAACACGGCGCGCAGACGCTCACCGATAGCGAAATTGCGGCGCTGAAGAGAGAGTTCACAGGAGAGGAGATGGTGGAGATCATCGCTGCGTACAGCAAGACGTTCGAGGAGAAAACGGCGTTCGCACAGGAGAAGTATAAGGCGAGAAAGTTGAAGAAGCACATGACAAAAATTTTGGCGCGCTTCCCCTCGCCCAGGGTGGTGTGCGAGCAGTACTTTTACGAAAATCCGAGCAAGACTTCGTACATGCGATTCGATTCGCTTTCGATGTTGATGAACATGGCGAACGTCGGGGCGCACGGACAAACTTTGGTCCTGGAGACGTGCGGTGGTCTGGTTCTTGGTTCGATTATGCATCGCATGGGAGGTTTCGGTCGAATTTGCAATGGTTTCGTTGGCACCAATCCGACCGGAATGGAGGTCGTGCAGAACATGAACTTCGATCCCACGCACTACGACAGCGTTCGACACGCATCGCTCTCTGGACTTATCGAGGCAAGACAGAAGGGCGCTGTCGAGGCGGATACCACGCGAGCCAAATCGATGGAGACTACCGAGCCATCAACTGCGGAAAAGAAGGAACGTGTGTACATGAAGATGAAGTTCGCCAACGACGGCGATATGTCGGATTTTACGCAGCACGGTTTTAGCTCACTAGTCATCGCCTCGCTCTCCGTTGAGCCCAAGGCGGTGCTCGAGCAGCTGTTGCCTCTGTGCGCGTCCTCAGCGTCTTTCGCTGTGTGGTTCAACGCCTCCCAACCTCTCGCGGAAGCGTATTACTACCTTCGTAACTCCAACTTGGCGGTCAATCTCTCACTTGTCGAGCCGTTTCTTCGCTCGCAGCAAGTGCTCCCGGGTCGCACGCATCCGGTTATGACCACCGACGCCGGCTCGGGCGGTTTCATCTTGAGCGGCACCTATGTCGGCGGTGTGAACACGAATACTCCGATCGAAGCGAACAAGAAGCCCAAGCGAGAGGAGAATAGCTAGTAATGAATATTTGCATTTTATTAGACTCCGAGTATCTGTGTCGAGCGCGCAGCGCGTTCACGATTACCATTGCGAACCTACACGGAGCCATCCACGGGAATAAAATAACGGTTGATGAGAGCCGACGCCACAGCGCGCCGTCCTCGCCCTCGATCACCGTCGATGGGCCGAGCGCTGAAGAACGATGAGATGTTGAGGGATCTTCCCGGGGCTTCCGCTGCGGGGGGTGGACGCGTCCGAGTGCGCGCGGCTTGGGTGAGCACGCCGACGGGGAGAAAAGTCGTCGAGCTCTCACCCATGCCGGCGGACGAAGAGACCGCGAGGTCGGACGCCGGGGAGGAGATCGAGAGCGATTGGTGGGCGGTCACCGTAAGCGTGTACGACGACCGAGAGGAGCACCTGTGCGATCTGGCGATGAGCGAGGACAACACGGTGGCGGCGCTGAAGACGCGGCTCTTGGCCCAGTTTCCAGAGAAATCAGCTGCGACAACAATGGATTTCGACGAAACCGCTCTACAGGAAAAGCTAGAAAAGATTAAGATGAGGTCTCCGCCGGCCAGTCAGAAAACGATCAGTCACACGAATCCGATGTACGACAATGACACGGAAGAGAGGGTGCTCACAACAAGTGGTCGAGTCGGCGGTAAAGGCACGGAGACGGGAAAATTCGGTATTCAGAATGTCCTAGGAATAGTGCGCGACATAGTAGCTCCGATTGTTTCTGACGAATCGTCCCCGTCGGCTTCCGATGACGAAATTGAGGAGGATTTTGACGACACGGGTGACGTTATGACACTTGTTGCGTCGTTGGACGAAACAGACGAGGAGGAGGAGGATATGAAAGTTCCAACAGGCCAGCTTTTCGGAGGGCCACACTCAAAAATCATAGTCGGTTACTTGCCGACAAATTACCAGGAAACATTCGAAAGGATACTCATCTTTTTACAAAAAGTACTGGATGAATATCTACCTGCCGTTGCCTCATTTCCACCAGCTGCACATTTAGTTTTTGCGATCACCATAGCCGCAGTCTTGGTCGAGTTGCTGGGTTTTGCTTTGTGGACGACGATTGCAATTTCGGTTTGCTACGCTCGCGTGCGAAGCGAGGAAGAGCTGAGGAGGAGAGCTGAAAATCGGAACATGAAACTTGCGATGAAAATGCAACAAGTCAAAAGCGAGTTCAATCGCATGAAATATATCGCAGAGCACGTATCTAGTGCGCGTGATAAGCGTGCGCTGAACTCGCTCACGAAATCGGGCGACTTAGCTTGGGCCAATGCCGTGATGGCCGCGACGTACAGCGGTTTTCTGCGCGATTGGGCGAACAGGAAGATTGAGAAGACTATTTCAGAACGTCTCGAGACACAGAAACCAGCAATTCTGGAGAAGTGTGCCATCGTAGATTTCAAGCTGAGCGATAAGGCACCAGTCGCATCGGCCATACGCGTTATCAAGAGTCAGAAGCTGCAAGACGGTGACGTTCTCTTGGAGCTGGCAATTTCTGCCGATCGCTCGGAGTTTTCGTTCAGTATTGGCGCCAAGCTGAAGCTCGGGCCCCCCATAAAGATTGACGTCAAATTTAAGGCTGAAAAACTTGAGGCGCGCGCCGCTGTGGTGTACACGAAGATGGCACCCTTCGCTAAGACTGTCCGAGTGTCTCTCGCGGAGGTACCCAAAACGAATTTGAGCATTAGTCACAATGGGATGGACATCGCAGATCTGCCCGGAGTGGACATTTGGATTCGCACCTCTATCGAGAAGCTGACGGTGAATCGCTTCCTGGAACCGAATGCTATTATTTACAACTGTGATGTTCACTGGCGCAAACATCAGGCGAAGGTTCGAAAAGAGCGCGAAGGCGCGTAGGCTACTGCAACGAGTTCGAGTTCCCATTGTGACTAATGCTCAAGCAACATGCGTGGGCAAACTACGAGTCACGACGTCACAACATTGTCCAAAGTCATCGCGAGAACATCCACCATACAATGAAACAGAAGACCACTGTGAAGAACATGCCTCCGTATACTAAAATAGCATCCAAGCGCTGTCTTCTGTCGATCACTCTGAGTAAACTCGTGGACACACCCATTTTGTCCAGCACGCTGAACATTTTGCGCTTGACATTTCGCAAAGTGGCACTTTGCTCACCCAAGTTACCAAGCACACTCGCTCCGGTCTCCAGTAACTCGTCCACCATTGACGACGAACGTTGCGCAGACTTTCTAGCTCCAGATTCCGCATCGTACTCCCCCACGAGCGAGCGAAACCCCGAGTCTTCCTTCACCCGTCGCAACAGGTCCTCGCGCTCTTTTTGTTCATTCATGCGCCTCTCTTCTCCTCTTGCAAACCTCTGTAAACTCATCTCCAAGTGATCCGTCTCCTCGATCACGTGTTCAACTTTCCTCTACGAGCGAGTGTCGCGTCCATCGTTCGCCGTCAGTCATCGCTCGCGCATCGTCTCGCTCGCTCGCGCGCCGCGTCGCTCGCGCGTCGCTCGTGCGTCGCTCACCTTCCACGTATCACTCTTCGATATAGACGCCGTCATCGCCATCGCTCGCCACTGTCGCTCCATCTCGCTCGTGATTCTCTTCAGCTCGCTCACGCGATGCCGCAGCTCCCTTCCCAGCGCGTCGTGCCTCGAGCTCCCGCTCGCACCGCTCGAGTGTCCGTTTCTCTCCTCTCGCTCCATGCGACTCAAACCTTCCTCGACGTCGAAACACAATCGTCTGGAGACGGCGTAGAGGTCATCCAGGGACGCCATCGCCCGTCGTCCACGGTGCGCGCGCCTCTGACGCCCCGTACACGTCCGCGTTCGCGTCTATCGCGGCACCGCTCGCTGGAGCTCGAGCTGTTTTCCCACTGGTACATTTTTCAATCGTCGCACTCGCGACGCTCGAGTCGGACCGCGCCGCACGAGGAGACGCGCGCGTCGAGCGACTTCGGTCGAGCTCGAAGAAACGATCGCGACGCGTCGTCGAGCGCTCGATCCGATTCCGCGCGCGGCGTCGTCGTCGGTGAACCGTCGCCATGGTGTTCAACATTGAACAAACGCAGCGAGACGATTTGATCGCTCGCGTCGACGCCTCGCTCTCGGCGATCGCGTTCCACTGCCGAGGGGCGCGCACGAGCGCGTCGAGAACCAAGGCGGAGGAGATCGAACGCCGCGCGTTCTCCGCCGCGGACGTGAGCTCGAGCACGACGAGCGGTGATCGGCCCCTGATCGAAGTCATGCGACTGTACGTGAAAAAGGCGGCTGAGCTCGTGGCGGAGGCGGTGGAGCAGGGCGGCGACGAAGACAGCGCTGAGCAAAGCGTCGACGCGGAGATGGACGACGATGAGTTCGACGTGGCGAAGACGAGTAAAGATCGCGAGTTCTACACGCAAGCGAGGGCGGAGGAGGTGCTCGCGCCGCTCTTACGAAAGGGAGCGACGTTCTCAAAGGTGAGGCTGAGCACAAAGAGTTTCGGAATCGACGCCGCCAAGGTGGCGGCTCGAGCTTTTGGCAACCTAGCGGAGACGCTCAAAGAGGTGGACCTCAGTGACACGATCGCGGGACGCCCGGAGGTGGAGGCCCTGAAGGCTATGGAGATTTTCAGCGAGGGCTTGATGGCGGCAAAACTCACCTCTGTGGATTTGAGCGATAACGCTTTCGGCGAAAAGGGCGTTCGAGCGTGCACGAAACTGCTTCAGAATCAGAAGGATCTGACGTCCATCGCGTTTCTAAACAACGGAATCTCCGAGCAAGCCGCGCGCGCGATTCTCGAGTTGCTTGCTTGCCCAGAAAAGCTGACTCGATTCCACTTGGACAAGAACATGACAGGTAACGATGGCACCGTGCACATCGCCGCCATCGTCGCCAAGGCGAAGGGTATGAAGGATTTCAAGATGGCTGGTTCTCGCTTCTTCTCCGAAGGCGCCATCATGCTCGCCGAGGCGCTCGCTGTGGGTAACTCTTTGGAGAGACTCGACTTGAACGACAACAACGTCAACGAGGAGGGTGCCGAGGCACTCGTCAAGGTGCTACCAAAGCATCCGAACCTGCATTTCTTGAACCTTGAGGCGACAGCTTTAGGACCTGATATGGGCGGAGCGCTTCTCATGGCCGTCGCAAAGGGATGCCCCAAGCTTGAAGTTCTCCACGTGAGCAGCAACGACTTTGAGCCTGAAGGCGCAGAGGGCGTCGCGCAGGCCATAGCAGAGATGAAGAATCTCAAGGTCTTGACTATTGGCGACAACATGCTCGGTAACGCCGGCGTCGCTCTCATTTGCGGCGCCTTGCGCCATTCGAATGCGCCGCTCGTCAGACTCGATGCGAGCTGCAACGAACTGTCGAAGACGGGTGCCATTGCGGCTGCACAACTCGCGGCGAGCAAGCCTGGATTCGAATATCTTAACCTCGACGGTAACTCTATTCCAGATGATGTCCTGGAGGAGATCATCGGTGTCTTGTCCGCCGCGGGCATCGAGCATACGCTCGCTCCGATGGACGACAACGATCCCGACGGCGATGTGTCCGACGACGAGACGTTGGACACGTCTGTTGACATGCTCTCTGTGCTCGCGGAGAAATTGAAGATGTAAACGTTGTCGTTTGAACTACATTCATTCATTCACTACCTATCACAACACTAGACTAAAAGCTAAGGGTAACAGTATTATCGCTCAAAAAGTTGAACTTTAAGTTGTGCAAGACGCAAAGCAAACGATACGTCGCCATCGATTCCCACGAGCACCGGCGCATCAGATAAATCTCCCGTCGAACGAAATTTGCGTAAACATCCGAGGATGTTGGTAACCATCTCACGGTCTTTGCCAGACGCATCCAAACTAGCGATTATCTCGTCCATGGTGAGCGCACTCAGTCCGAATCCGATGTGCGATTCAGCGCTTTCGAGCTGGGAGCGCTCCAAACGAGCATTCACGTCGGCGTCAATGTGACCCGAAATCCTCGGGATGAGCGCCCAATTATCTGGAACAATACGTTTCTGCGCGTTGGCTAATATTTCGATCCACTCATCCGCCGTTACCGGCTCCGTGAGCGTCGGTTTCTCTTCGCCGCGCGCGTCTGTCAGCGCGCGCACCTCTCTCGCGCTGTCACACGCCGACGTCAACACCTCCCCCAAGCGCGCCCTCAGCACCCTCCGCGTCATCGTCTCTAGCGTCACCGGAACGTGCACTTCTCTCTGTTTGAATCCCATCTCGAACGCCTTTCGCTTGATGGCCAATTCCAACGCGCGCGGGTTCGCCGAGACGTACGTCCCGCGTCCCGGCGCGTCTCCGCGCGCGTCCGGCGTCACCCACTTCCTCCCCTCTCCGTCCATCGCCAGGACGTATCGCACCATGACTTCTCCCGGGAAGTGTGCGTTCGTTCCCGCGCACCGTCGTCGCGGCAACAGCGCCGCTCGCATCGCGTGCGCGGACGCGTCCATCGTCATTCGCCCATCCGCCAGGCGCACTAACCGTTCCACCTCATCCGTCGCCCCCCCCCCCGCTCGACGT